TTTTATTTTACTCTGATTTATTTACAAATTTTTAATACATTGTTCTTCACAAAAAATCCTTCCCATTTCCTTCACCCTACCTACAGCTTTGTTCTTTTTAGTTGTTCCTTTTCCACTCAGCATTTTATGGAAATGAGTATAATCTGAAACCCAAAGTGAATGCATAATTGAACTTTCTGTTCAAAGGAAATTTATTACAAATTTTTAGGAGACTTTTTTGTTCTAGGTTTCCTTAAACTCCCCTCTCCCACCCAAACTTAAATAAAAGATGTTATGTGCTATCATGTCACAACCAACTCCAGCTGGTACACCAGCAGATTTTCAGAGGCTCTAAGTTGCAACAAGAGGAGATTGCCTGTCTTTCTCCCTCAGAGTAGCTGGTAAATTTGAACTGTCTGCCTTTGGGTTGACAACACAACTCCTTACCCACTAGGCTACCAGAAATAGAGCAGTAGATAACTGTAGTAGGAAAACAGGTAATGGCTCTTAAACAAGAAGAAGTAAGTAGACTCTTCTTCATGAATTCATTCTCCTTTGGATTCTTTAATACTGTCTTCACATTTATTTCTAAGGATTGTATTTAGTGGGTAGAATGAATTAGTCATTGAAGCTTTCTTCTAGGACTCAAACTGTTTAGTGTGTTCCCATGACCAATCAACCTGTAGTTAACATTTCTTTTCATCTGACTCCTTCCCACTGTTACTTGAGTAAAACTACTAGAAAGCGTGCATTACATTGCTCTCAGTTGTGCTGGAATAAGCACATTCTCAAGTTATGATGCGCTTTCCTACATTCATTCCACACAGATTTCTTAGATGCATACTATGCCAGGTAGTGTACTAGACCTCACAGAAGCAGCACAACCTAGGAATTAAATAGTTGCGGCTGCAGCCTCATGGATTTTTCACCAATATTAAATAACGAATCCAGTATCATCATGATAAACACAAACTCAAACCTGCCTTCTTTGCAGGAATGACGATAAAGTGGGTATCTAGAGAGTGAGTGGGTGAGCCACACTGAGGAAAAACTAAGAATGATCACCCCAGACAGGGAACGAATACAGTGGACTGTGTGTGGTCTAAAGGCCTGAGCCCAGTAGAAACTCCTAGAAATACATGACTGCAGGTTAGGAAGCAAGAGGGAAGCCGTTTAGGAAGAATGAAGTACATCTAGAGACCAGGAGGCAGATATGGAAAGACCATGTGAAGATTGAGGTTTCTTGTTGGACAAGCAGAAAGCCAATAAACGTTATAAAGCTGTTGTTGTCTTCGAGTCGAGCACAACTCATAGTGACCCCATCAACAAAAGACCTGAAGCTCTTCCACAACCATCCCCAATTTATCAGAGTTCAGAGTTCCCAGAGGCATGCTGTTAAGGGAACCCTCTTCTTTTCTACTTTCTCCACAGTTTTTCTTTAAATATAAAACATCACCAAAGAAATAAAATCACTCTTGCAGCCGTGTGGGGAATAGAAGAAATTTGGAGAGTCTGACATCACTACAATAGTGTTAGTGCCTTTGTTTAGATTGGTGACAGTGGAGATGGAGAGAACTAAATACATTCAAGGGCTATTCAGAGTGAAATAATTAGACTATTGGTAGTATTGGTGAAGAAGCAGATTTCATAAATGACCTCTTGTTACTAATGTGCTACTATCACTAACATAAAGACTTTTGAACAAAGTACATTTAGACATTATATTTTGGGTACTTAAAATATCTAGAGTTTGCTGTCCAGCAGGCATGAATATGGAGATAAAAGGTTCAGAGTTGTTGGCATAAATTATATTTCAGGGCATGAGAGTAAATGAGATTACCCTAGGACAAGATACATAGAAGCAAAAGATGCCAACTTCAGATCCAGTTCTACAGGACTCCAGAACTGAAAATAAAGAGGGAGAGGCTAGAAAGAAGATAGAAAACCCCAAGACACATGTTAACCTAAGAGAGTGTGTTAGCAACAGAGACATCAGGAATAATTCATTTAGTAAGGAAGTGATCACCAGTAGGAGTCAGTGATACTGAAAGTGGGTCATCATCAGTGAGGACTCCATTGATGACGTCAGAGGAAATTATTCTGTGGAGGTGTAAAAAGCAGATTAAAGAGGACGAGAAATGAACAGGAAAGAAGTGAACAATTTTAGAACTTTATAAATTCAAAGATTAAGGGTTATAACCTTGAGGATATTTGAAATACAGGAAGACCTTGGGTGTTTTGCTTACCAATAAAGAAAGGTAAGTGAAGATACAGGAAAAGATAAATGGTATTCTGTAATACAGTATTATGTATACAAGATATAAGGTGAGTAAATAGGAAAAAAAGTAAAGGTCTCATTGAAACCACAGAATAGCTGTTCCACCAGATGCTCTGCTGGAGAAGGAGGGGCAGTCTCTTCCTGTGCCAGGTGGATCCAACTCACGCTGTGCACACATGGGGGGAAAAAAAGGAATATCTGTAGCGTGAGGTCTTAAAGCGAACAAGCTATAAGGGGATGAATTCTTATTCGAGAATTACTGGACTCTGTCAAGTTGATTCCAGTCGCTTTCAGAGGAAGCAGGTGTTAAGTACTCGAGACACTGGTGGTCCATGTAGTGTAGAAAGGAAAGAATGCTCTAAGTTGAAAGAAATAGGCCTGGGTGTTCAAAGGAGTGTCCAGGTGTCTCTTACCTAGTGCCGAAATAAAAAATTGTGATTTAAACACCAAAGTCCTTTAGAAAATAAAAGAACAGCGTTCATTAAGTGATAGCAAAAGTGATACAGATTAACTGAATTCCATGAGACTCAAAGAATGACCATTTTTTTTAAAAAATGAGAAATTAGCTGAAACCTGCATTAGAAATCAAAGAGGATGTTCATACTCAAGTACAAAGATTGTGGGAGAATGAACATCCTTCATTCCAGAGGGCTGTTGAGAAAACGGCAAGCTCCCAAAGACAGCCGGGGTCTGTTTTAATTAAAGCAAGTGTTAGTATTTTTACAGGAGGTAAAAATGTGTGTCAGAGAGTTTGTTGATCATGAAGTGTAATCCAGAGGCCACCACTGAGGGGTCACGTGTGGAAGGAGACTAACAGAAGAAAGGAAATACTCGAAATGAGAGAATAAGAACCAAAGAGCTTGTCTCCTGTTCTTTGCCTGTCTGTGAATCCCCTGGCTAAATGCTTATTATTAAAGCACATGCCAGAGAGTTACTGAGTGGGTGCAGATGGCCCATGGCGCAATCCACTGACTGGACCGGAGGTGTTTATCTGATGATTATACTTCAATCACCCACAAAGCACTGCTTACCTTCCTGAATGCTTGCTTGCTTCGTTCTCCTTTAGATTCGCTCTGTCCCTTTCCCTTTCCTTTTCCTTCTCATAAAGATGGTCGGTCAGTCTGTCTTCTTTATTCTCTTCCTCTGGCCTTAAGCCTTCCAAGGGCCAGATGGCATCCTTGGCTGAGAAGAGGTTGCTGCTCCCTTGCTGAGAGCATTCTTCACAGTGTAAGAAGCCAACCAAGAGAGAACTGCTGTGTCAGGTTCCAGGCAGCCAGGTTTAGGAGGTGATCGCTCAGGCTACCAGTAAACACACAGGCTCTGTGAAACTGAGTCAGGGCACTCACCAGACCTGCGCACCTGTTCATCTTATGACAGTTTTCCTAGACACCCCGGAGAGACAGCAGGACAGTCATATTTGCTGTCTGGCATGTTGGGAAAGGGTATCACCATTCTCTTACTATCTATTGTGCTCTTCTTCCTGCTTCTTCATGGGAATTGATGAACATATGCGTTAATTGAAGTGTCTGCTACAAGCTGTTGTTAATGTGACAGATGTTAGCATATCCCTTTGATGATGGCAATGTATGTTCATATTTATTTTTTGTTAAAAAATATAGCCTATAAATTTAAATAGTATATGACCAAGGAGGATAGAAGGAGAACTGATGCCTTTGAGCTGTGGTGCTGGAGAAGAGTACTGAGAATACCATGGACTGCTAGGAAAACAAATAGATTTGTCCTGGAGAGGGTTAAACCGGGTGGCTCCTTGGAGGCAAGGATTCTGAGGCTCCATCTAACTTACTTCGGACATGTAGTGAGGAGAGACCGGTCCTTGGAGAGGGACATCATGCTTGGGAGGGTGGAGGGACGGCGCAGGAGGAGAAGGCCCTCTATGAGGTGGATTGATTCAGTGACTGGGATAATCGGGATGGGAGTGTCAGAGACGGCGCGTTTGGCACAGGACAGAGCGGAGTTTAGGGCTGTTGTACATAGGGTCGCTATGAGTCGCAGGCGACTCGACGGCACATAACAACAACAACATCTATTATATAAGCAAATTTTCACCTTCCTCCTCCAAATTCTCACATTGCCTCTCGATGCATTTCTTTTGCTTCTCACCACCTTTTCTGTCACTTTCTGTGCCTGCCACTTCTGCCTTCTGCTGCCTGTCACCT